TATTTATTTTGTGGATAGCCATTCATATGTTTGAAGAATTAAATCTTTTACTCTTTGATGACAGGCTGGTTACAAGAAACGGCTGTGGAAAAAAAATTATAGGCGGAGGAGGCGCTTGAGGCAACATGTGTTCTGCAATAAAACACAGTCTAAGCTCCTTGATAAAATGACATCTTCCTTCTGGAAAAGAAGAAACTGGTACATTGATGACCCCTACCAAAAATACCATGATCGTACAAACTTGAAGTTATAAATTGTCAAATGCACACCTGCAGATCTTTGTATGCCAGTCCAAATATTAATGGTTCAGGTTGATTACTTTTCCATACATCTGTCTAACAAGCAAATGAACAGTTTATGTTAAATTACTGGTGCAAAATAAACCATTGATCTGATTACTCTACAGATTGATTGCATAATTCTTTTGTTTTATTAGCAAAGGGTGATAGCTGCAGAATGCATAAATATACTTTCATTGATTGTGGAATATAAATTATATGCCTCAAAACTGTTTTAAATAGTTATAGCTACAGTTTTAAATCTTGGGACTGTATAAAATAAGCATTTAGCCTTGCTCAGCTAAATTATTTCTGCTGAATAGAAGTGCAAAATTTAAGCACATGGATTGTCTTAAAGGCGGCAAGCTGATAAAGTCTTTGATGATTAATTAATGACTGGCTTATAAAAAAATTCAGCTTTGCAGTAATTATTACTTTTAAATCACAAGAGAGATGCTGTAACTCCTTGGGCAGTCGTGGAAATGATGAAACTTCCACTACTGATGGTTGTCTCATATTAGACTTTTCTGTTTAATTGTTGGTTTATTTATATGTGAGAACACAAATAGACACACACAAAAAAATGTGTGAATGTATGTACTTGATACCTGTTTCAAATGATTTATCAGAATCATTCAAGATACTAGTAGAAATCTTCAGTCATATTACCAATTTGAGGCTCTTACTGATTAATGAAGTCTTCCTTCTTTCCATCAAGACAAACAAATCCCAGCCATTTCCTCAAGTAGCCTTGCAATTATTCACAAGGCACAAGGAGTTCCATTTAACATACATGATTTTCCTCTCCCCACAACAACCAATGGAATAGGCTAGGCTGAGAGAGAATGACTGGTGCAAAATCACTCAGTGAATCTTGTTGGCTTGAGGTGGGGAACCAAAATCTCACCACTGTAGAACAATGTCGCAGTAGTAGACTATCAGTTTGCTAATCTATTAAGATTCCCCTTACAACAGGGGTCAGCAAACTTTTTCAGCAGGGGGCCGTTTCACTGTCCCTCAGACTTTGGGGGTGGCGGACTATATGGAGGGCGGGTGAACGAATTCCTATGCCCCACAAATAACCCAGAGATGCATTTTAAATAAAAGGACACATTCTACTCATGTAAAAACACGCTGATTCCCAGACCGTCCACAGGCAGGATTTAGAAGGCGATTGGGCCTACCCATGCATTACAACGATAGCATATAGTGGAGATAAACAACTACAAGAATTAGGACACTACGAACAACTACAGAAATCAGAACACTACAATAATATTATAATACTGCAATATTAGAAGTGTGATTATAACAGTTTCGCCTACTTTGAACAGAAGACCCATTCCTTTTTTTAAAAGAAAAATTTAAGACTTTATTTTCAAGATGTATATCAAGCATTATAACAAAACATTGACCTTTGGAATACTGTTGTAGTATGTGATCTTACAATGCATTTTTCAATGTTCTAGCCTAGCATGTCTTTGCTATGGATCAGTGGAAACAAACAAATATTAAGTGCCCCGTTACCAGCCTCAGATATTGGCCACTTGCGTTACTCTCTAAAATACAGTGCTCTTGACAATTTCAAATAGTGTGCCAAGTGCAAAGCAGGTACTTGCAAAAAAAACAAACAAACTGCAAATGAGACTAATTAACAAGCATTTAGGCACAAGTACATGTATCAGCTACTTAAGAGTACTGTACAATTACCTTGCAGAGTACAGCTTGAAGGTAGCAGGTTGTTTACAACTGGCTAGAGGGCATCCCAACTTTATGTTCAGCATTTCCCCCCCAGTGTTTTAGTTTTAAAACTGACTGGTGAAGGTCTTTGATTTACATTGAAATAAAATATTTTTCCTGCTGCCACCAGCCATTGGCTAGATAGGCCAATGGTCTGACTTCACAGAACTATAGAGTTGAAAAGGACCCTGAGCGTTATCTAGTCGGACCTTGTGCCTCATACCAGAGTAGACTCAGTACTGTCTACACTGGCAGGCAACGGCTCTCCAGAGTCTGTGGCAGAGGTATGTCACATGAACATAAACTGGAGGGGCCAGGGATTGAAACGGGTACCTTCTGCAGGTAGAAGGTGGAACCAAAGCATGTGCTCAACTATGGTCTATCCCCATGAATAGTGAAGGGTGAGAAACTTTGGTAATTAGATCAGTACTGATAACATGGGCATACGCAACTAAGCCATAATAGCCTGTTCTCTTGTGAAGTTGGCTATTTTCCTACCATAAAGAACATTTTACAGTTCCATCTTTGGGAACCCTCCCCATAGTTTTACAATACTAGAATTGTAGCAACAGAAGCAGTATTGTGCTGGAACCACAGTCTTACATTGCCCCTTGTGTGACTCACTGTTCTCTCCCTGGGGTCCCTTCTAACTCTATGATTCTATGTAGCACTGGATTTGGGGTGATGCAGGCAGTTCCCCAACACAGGGCAATGAGCCGAGTGGGTACAAAATTGAGAAGAACCACTTGGGGGCACCAAATCTGGGGCTCTCGCAGGATGCCCTGTTACCAAAGAGTACCAAAGTCCGCCTCTGTTCTATGGTTTTACATCTGTAATGCAAAAACTGGCAGAAACAGAGCATTGTGGAAGCTAAAGTTGGCTATGCAAAGCTGACCCCCAGTATTGGTCCGAGGAGGTAAGACTAGAGAACCAAAGCAAGACAGTAGAGCGTATTAATCCCCAATGTGTACATGAAATTAAATTATATAGGAGCCTTCTACTGAAAATAAAATGGATAGCCCTAGTAAATTGGTAGAGAGTACAAGTCTTGAGTGTTCAAAATGCTGGAAGCTGATATGTTTTGATGCACATGTCTCAGCCAAGGCTGTGAACAACCTGCTTCCATTGTATTGCAGATTTTAAAAACATATGGAACATAAGTGCTACACTTATTTAGCCATTCATGTTTCTCACTGATCTATACACAGATAACACAGTTCAACTGATTGATTAGCACAACTACCAGTGATTTTTTTTCTCCTTACAGTGAATTTAATTTGAGAGATAAGGCAATTCAGAGAGTTTCACCTTAGCACTAAACAACAGGAAGTCCAGAACAGTCATACTTGTCAGTAAAACAGCAGGTCATATAGACGTCGGTTCGCTTTAGGTAGAATGAGCATGCGAGGAGAAATTTACAAATGTGTCTTTTTGGCATAATTAAATACAAAATTGCCACTTTCTCATTTTATTCTGTCACACATAGCGGTATATATTGGCAAAAGTTATCTGCTTGCAAGATAATGTCATTTTGCTGATGTCGCAGACAACTTTGAATTCTGTGCGTGAATGTATACAGACTTCAAAAAACTGCTCAACAAATATGCTAGCTGAACTCCCCCAAAATCAAGCTTTTCTGCTACAACTGAATATTTTCTAGCTGCCATCTAAATTATTCATTTGTTGACTGAAATGGCATCGGATCCAAATATGGTAACTGTTGGAGACATCTGTTTTTGTTTTCTTGCACGGCAGTAACCATGCTGATACATGCTTATGCAATGGTTGGATTTTTTAAGGCTTTTCAAAAAATTTGAGAAGTTCCAAATTAACATTTAAGAAGCATGAAGGGAGGCTAGGATATGGATTCTTAAACCCAAAACAAAAATATTTAACAGACATTTCATAGTGCTAATCTTGGAACCTGAAACACAGCCACCTAAATCCCTGCTACACATGAAGGAGGTCAGTAGTATCATTCGCAGTCTACCCATCTGATCTCAGTGGCAAGATCTTTTATATTCTACAATATTAAATATTCTAATTAACACATACAATTGTCTACAGAACTAGATTTTACATGCTCAACACTTACAAGAGACACCAATCTGAAGCACGAATACACAAATCCTAGTACTGTTTCCTCATTTTGTACCTCTCTAAAATTACAAACGCACCGTGGGATCTACAGACTATTGTGAACTCTACCAGAAGCTAACTACAGCCAAAATCTTTGCATTATGTGAGGGAGTTTGGTTACAGCCTTCCACTATCTTTCTCTGAAAGAAATGCCTACACACCTGGTGGGAAAATGTTAGGATTAAAATCCCATGTGTAGACATGGCTGACTTTCACATAGGCCAACCCACACTTTGCTAATGTGATTCTGGTTTACCTCCTAGCATTTATTATGACTCTATGCTGCAGGCATGTTCATTAAGTTGGCCAAGAGTTACAGCGTTAGTTTCTTTTATGCATAATATACTTAACAATGCAATCCTAATTCTGTTTACAAAGTCTGACTGATTTCAGCATGACTTTCATCCGGGTAATTATGCTTAGGATGTCAGCCTCAGCCAATCACTGTCGTCGAAACCAAAGTGCCTCTGCTCCCATATCTTGTGATAATACGTACATGTGTGTATGTGTGCGCACGCATCTGTGAGTTCCTCCTCCTCTAAAATCCTCTGGCTCTATTTTTTCAGGAGTACACACAGTATCTGAGTTACAATAAATAAAATTTACAGGGGGCGGGGAGGGCGATTAAGCTCGTGTCTAACACCTGTACAGTGAAAAGAATTCATGATTTGTCATATCATTCACAGTCTTGTAATAAAGATATGATGGAGAACGCTTGGGTAGAAAAATCTGTGGCCCCTGCCACTCTATACATTATGAAGCCCAAAATAAATAGGATGGATCCAAGTATTTAGAACGGGTGAATAATTATTTTCCTGGTTGCACTCACAGAGCTAAAAACTAAGCTGATGTAAGGAGTAATTACAAATGTACAGCCTCACTAGCATAGCTGAAAGAGCTGCTACTCTGCAAAGAAATCCCAGGGGGGTTGCTTTTGCCTTCTGGGTTTGCAATGCCACAGAAACGGTCAGGGAACCCACAGCAAATGGAAAGGGAAGCGAGAAAGGCCATGTTTATAACGTCGCAGTATCAAAAGCACATCCATCTCACCACTGTTTTTCCCCCTACATTATTAACGGAGTAGATCTTTTAAGGCAGAAGAGAGACATTCCGTGGATTTCGGTGCTAATGGCTCATCACGCTCACATGGTTTCAGTGGTCGAGGATGAGGTACTTTTTTTCCTGAAACGAGGTCTAAGGGTCCTAGGCGGTGCCTGTCGAAAACAAAATGCAGCGTTGGTTAGTCTTTCCATTCATTTAGCCACCAGGGATGCGAGTCAATTTGTGCAGGAATTTAGCAAGTGAGGATCTTCAGCTCCAGAACAGGCGTAAGGCTGCCCCGGCCTCCCCGAACGGTCGTGGTCCCTTCCAAGTCTACAGCTCTACGATTCTAATGTTTAGCACCAAAAATAATGTCCTCTGCGCTGGTATAAATCCAAGGCATCCCAAAAGATGGGGGGTGGAATACTTTACTGGATCTTGTCAGGCTGATAAACAGAGCTACATCTACATCATCATCATCATCATCATCATCATCATTTTATTATTTATACCCCGCCCATCTGGCTGGGTTTCCCCAACCACTCTGGGCAGCTTACAGCACATTAAAAATGGTAAAACATTAGACATTAAAAATATCCCGATACAGCATTGCCTTCAGATGTCTTCTAAAAGTCAGATAGTTGTTTATTTATCTTCGCTCCATAGGACGCACACACATTTCCCCTTCATTTTTGAAGTGCGTCCTATAGAGCGAAAAATACGGTACTGGTGCCTGTGTTATTTTCCATGCTATGGATATCACATTTTGGGGGGCAAGTTGTAATTTGCACAGCAAAGGCCTGTTATTAAACTAAAGATGCATTGAAAGCAAGCATTCAAATCAAGAATTAGACCAGGGGTCAGCAAACTTTTTCAGCAGGGGGCCAGTCCACTGTCCCTCAGACCTTGTGGGGGACCGGACTATATTTTAAAGAGGAAAAAAAGAGAGAGAGAACAAATTCCTATGCCTCACAAATAACCCAGAGATGCATTTTAAATAAAAGGACACATTCTACTCATGTAAAAACACACTGATTCCCGGACCGTCCGCGGGCCAGATTTCAAAGGCAACTGGGCCTGATCTGGCCCCCGGGCCTTAGTTTGCCTACCCATGAATGAGATGGCAGGACAATCCTATGATCTAACCTCAATTAGCTGCTGCTGTGCTGGGGCTTATACCAGCACGATTAGATTCGTAGGCTTTCCCACCAGCTACAATGCCAAAGCGTAATAATAATGCTACCAGAATGGAGAGCTAACACAGCCACTCCTACAAAGTCCATAGCAACAGTCTCACCAGAATCACATCGATTCTGATGCCCCCACAAATGGAAGGAACCAAGCAGCTATGCAGGTACACTTTTATGGTATCACACAACACATTCCGTTCCCTTTCCCACACTTGAGGCACAACTGCTGTGGCTCACTGATATTAGGTAGGAAATCAGATGAGACTAGCGAAGCATTGCACCACCATGGGTGCTTGCAAGGAGGGGCAGCTGTGTTCCCTGGATAAGCCGCAACCCCTTGATCCTCAGCTTTCTTTCATTTAAAATAAAGTTGCTAGCACTTGGGGGACCCAAGATGTGAGGCAAAATGTACGGGCAGTGTTCTCATTTGTTTCGTGAGAAACTAGGGCGCTGCTCACACCATTTCACTGTCTTTAACCAATGCTGACGTCTTAGAATGATTGAGAAAAGCAGGCCTAGCCAATTAGACAAAAGAGAAGGCTAGAGTGAAACACCCATTGCCCGAATGAACATCTGGTTCATTTGATGACAACATTCAGAATTCAAGAATATTGTACAGTGGTACCTCGGGTTAAATACTTAATTCGTTCCGGAGGTCTGTTCTTAACCTGAAACTGTTCTTAACCTGAAGCACCACTTTAGCTAATGGGGTCTCCTGCTGCCGCTGTGCCGCCACCGCCCAATTTCTGTTCTTATCCTGAAGCAAAGTTCTTAACCTGAGGTAATTCTGGGTTTAGCGGAGTCTGTAACCTGAAGCGTATGTAACCTGAAGCGTATGTAACTCGAGGTACTACTGTAGAGGCCATCCTATCAATGGTCTGCTGAAAATCTTATATGCAGTCATACCTTGGGTTACAGACGCTTCAGGCTGCGTGTTTTCGGGTTGTGTACCGCCGACCCAGAAGTACTGGAACAGGTTACTTCCGGGTTTCGGCACTTGCGCATGTGCAGAAGCACTAAATCGTGCTTTGCGCATGTGCAGAAGTGCCGATTCATGTCGCACCCATGCGCAGATGCTGCGCTGCGGGTTGCGAATGTGCCTCCCGCACGGATCACGTTCGCAACCCGAGCGTCCACTGTATTACAAAAACGTATGAGGAGCACGGACCAAGATGGCTGCCAAGTGGTTGGAGCAGTGTTTAGAGCTCTAAGGACAACTCTAAGGCAAATCTCTGCTATATAACCAATTCTTAGCACCTGTTTTTATTCCCTCTTCCATTTTACTTTTTAATTCCTTTTTGTGCTCCGTTTTGTTGTTTTAATTTGTTGTTTTGTTTTATTGTTTTATTGTTCTAACTCCCCTTAAACTGCGAGACTGCATGAAGCTGGGCTGGGCTGAGTACTTTGCATATATTATTATTAGCAAACTGATCCACTGTATGAGCAAGTAATGCAGCAGGTGTGATTGCCAAACGGAAGCTGCGTGGAGCCTGCTTCCTAAAATAAAATTATTTGTCCTGAAGAAACTGCAGCAGCGGAAGCCGGTAGGCGGGGAAGGGGGCAGCATCCCGTATGAGCTGTAAGACAAAGGGAAGGAGGGGAGCTGCCAGGCCTGGCATTAGCTCCTGACACTCTTGGGCAGCTGCCAAGGCCACAAGCTCTCAGGCAGGGCCCGCCAACACCTGACACTTGCCCTGATGTCTGAGTCTGTGAGTCACCGTTTTAATTTATCGCAATGCCCCACATATATAGTGTCACTCCAGAGGAATGTGAGGGAACTCAATGGCCACCTGCTGCTCTGACCCTCGCTGCCAGGTAAGTCCACCCATGTAGGGAGGGACGACTGGTGAGCACTTTACTGAGGGCCTCCACAAAGGAGAGTTGAGAGAATTCATACTGATCAATACATCTCTGTGTTTATTCCCCACCTTTAAAATGTATATATCAGGGGTAGGCAACCTAAGGCCCGGGGGCCAGATGCAGCCCAATCGCCTTATCAATCTGGCCTGCAGACAGTCTGGGAATCAGCATGTTTTTACACGAGTAGAATGTGTGCTTTTATTTAAAATGCATCTCTGGGTTATTTGTGGGTCATAGGAATTAGTTCATTTTTTTCTCTCCAAAATATAGTCTGGCCCACCACATGGTCTAAGGGACGGTGGACCGGCCAACGGCTGGAAAAGGTTGCTGACCCCTGGTATATATGTTTCCTAAAGGTAAAGGGACCCCTGACCATTAGGTCCAGTCATGGCCGACTGGGGTTGCGGCGCTCATCTCCCTTTATTGGCCGAGGGAGCCGGCGTACAGCTTCTGGGTCATGTGGCCAGCATGACTAAGCCGCTTCTGGCGAACCAGAGCAGCACACGGAAACACCGTTTACCTTCCCGCTGGAGTGGTACCCATTTATCTACTTGCACTTTGATGTGCTTTCGAACTGCTAGGTTGGCAGGAGCAGGGACCGAGCAACGGGAGCTCACCCCATTCGCAGGGATTCGAACCGCCAACCTTCTGATCGGCAAGCCCTAGGCTCTGTGGTTTAACCCACAGCGCCACCCGCGTCCCTATATGTTTCCTACAGCGTAGTTATTTGACTCTTATAACCCATAATGTGACTTCAGTGGCAGTCCATGGTTTGGTTCATTTCCTCAAAGGGTGGTGAACACATTCTGTTCTGAGATCCATCAGTGAGTTATCACAGACTGCAAACCAAGAGAAGAACGGTCTAACATTACAGGTTTGTTGTTAGCTGCTCTGACAGTCTTAGGCTACTCTATTGGGGCATTATGGGGAAAACTACTGGCGTTTCCATGCGCTGCTCTGGTTTGCCAGAAGCGGCTTAGTCATGCTGGCCACATGACCCGGAAGCTGTACGCCGGCTCCCTCGGCCAATAAAGCGAGGTGAGCACCACAACCCCAGAGTCGGCCACGACTGGACCTAATGGTCAGGGGTCCCTTTACCTTTATAATCTGTGACACTGAACAGTTTCTTTGCTGCTTACATGGCACAGACGATAAGGAAAGGCAAGAGCCTTAACTGTTTATACACCTTTCGGTGGTGGGGAGAGTGGATTTGAAATAGGTTTCTCCCTTAAAATGAAGGTTTTCCAATCCTAGAACACTGGTTGATTGAGAAATAAATATGCACCTTTTTAAAACGTCTCTATACTATTTAAATGTGAGGACATTCCACTCCCATAATTCAAAGGACACATTCCAGTTCTGGATAGATGTGTCTAGGACAGGGGTGGGGAATCTGTGGTCCTCCATATGTTACTGGACTCCAACTCCCATCAGCCTCAGTCAGCATGCTTGCTGGGGGTGATGGGAGTTGTAGTTCTCCATCATCCAGAGGGCCACAGGTTCCTCACTCTTGGCCTAAGATGACCTACATACAGTTTTATAATTCTATTGGATTCAGGGCCAGCCTCAACAACCGTCCCATCGCAAAAGAAAATAGCATTTGTGGAAGTCAGGCACCTGCGTTCTTAATCCCATTTCCAATGTGAAAATACCTCAATGACGGGATCCTTCTTTTTAGGTGTTTTAGCCTTGGATGTGCTATCCAATGAGTCGTTCTCTTCATCATCTGAGAACACAACTTCCGTTGGTTCACAGTTTGCCTCAGGTGGCCTTTCACTCTCTGCCTCAACCTCTAGTTCAACCACTTAGAACAGCCATTTAAGATCTAAATGGTGAAGAGAAAGAGGAGATGGAAAGGTCAGAGATGGTGGTCAGCTAATGGAGTAACGCCAACTGTTGCCCCACCCATGCATTTGCCGGGTTAATAATATAAGCGGGGTTAAAAGGCACACACCAGGAACAATTTTTAGTTGTCAGCTTGAGTTGCTTAAGAAGATTTCAATGCAACACCCATGATTATTATGAATTTAGGCTGTCACCCTGTGCTAATTTGGGAGTAAGTTCCATTGGACTCAATGGGCTTACTTCTGAGCAGGTATGTTTAGGATTTAACTGTTAGATGCCTTCATTTATTTGTGGATTTAAAAGGGGGTCATAGGGATGGCTAGATCTTAATAATTTTAGTTCCTGTATAACAAAACCAAATGGAGCATAGTTTACTGAACTGAGAAAGTTAATCAGGAATAATTGCCTAATCTAGTGTAGTGGAACAAAAAGTGCCACTGGGCATATTTACGCCATCACTACCTGCCAAATCGGTGCTCAATTATAGTCCAGGCAAACACTGCTGACAAACACAGAATGCTATAAAATGTTCCTGATGGCATGAACAAATTCTGAATAGTGTGTTCTGCATACAATGTAAAGATTAACCTCTCATAGCAATGGGTACTGAGAATAATGCTGTGAGTTTGGCTGTCTTGAAGCCAACCATTGGGTGGTCAGAGTCTTCAATAAAGAAACATTGATGTTCCTTGACTGGCTTTTCACTCCTAACTTTGGAGGGTGTTACCTTTCTGCTGATGGGAACCAAAGAAACACTTCATTGAAATTTGAGTCAGGGAATGCAGAGAAAGCTGAGCGTTATTACATACTTAGGGTGGAGTTACGTTCATCAGGAACCTGGTGTGAGTTTAGATACAAGCTGTTTTCCTATTTAGAAATCTGCTTGCTTCCGGTTGTGAAGACCCCGTAAATTTATGAAGACACTGTAGGTGTCCAACGCTTCCTCTTATCCAACACTGAAGCACTGTCCCTAGACTGGTCAGGGAGGTGGGAAGCACTCAGGGTGGCCCTGAGCCATACTTTTCAGTCCTCTGTTTGAAGAGCTATCCAATCTACGTCCAATTTAATTAGAAAGAGCTGTAAGGAGGGCAGGGGCTTTGAATGTGCCCATCAACAAACAGCTGAACAGCAGACTGAGCGAACACACAGACCACCTAGCCACAAGTTTATCCAGTTATGGTGGAATGCATTGCATTCCTATTGAAATCAGAGTAATAATTGCTTAAATTTGCATATAAACGCACACATGCAAATGTCCTTTTTTGTGATGCTGTTCCTGTTTTTTTGGCAATAGGCAAGTAACCTTCTTGGCACCAGCCCATCTTTGTTATGCCTAGACCCACTGAACTGGCACAAAATTGGCCTATATAGAAACATAGACAACTAAATTCAAGAAGGACACTGACAAACTGGAACGTGTCCAGAGGAGGGCAACCAAAATGGTCAAAGGCCTGGAAACGATGCCTTATGAGGAACGGCTAAGGGAGCTGGGCATGTTTAGCCTGGAGAAGAGGAGGTTAAGGGGTGATATGATAGCCACGTTCAAATATATAAAAGGATGTCATATAGAGGAGGGAGAAAGGTTGTTTTCTGCTGCTCCAGAGAAGCGGACACGGAGCAATGGATCCAAACTACAAGAAAGAAGATTCCACCTAAACATTAGGAAGAACTTCCTGACAGTAAGAGCTGTTCGACAGTGGAATTTGCTGCCAAGGAGTGTGGTGGAGTCTCCTTCTTTGGAGGTCTTTAAGCAGAGGCTTGACAACCATATGTCAGGAGTGCTCTGATGGTGTTTCCTGCTTGGCAGGGGGTTGGACTCGATGGCCCTTGTGGTCTATTCCAACTCTATGATTCTATGATTCTATTCTAAATAATCCAATGAAACACACAAACATTACAAAGATAAAATCTGATTTGCATATTATTTCTAAAAGGTGAACAATATTAATGTCCACTCTCTTCCTATCCTTCAACACAGCAATGTTCTGTATGTTCTGCATTAATGTCAGTTTCCAGCAAGTCAAATTTCACAACCACAGCTGTACAAAACCGGTTTAGGACAACTTATAATAAACAAGTAAACCACAATGTACATGAACCGCAGTGTCTGTTTACAAAGCAGAATCCAAAATGTTGCTTGTGGACATGAATCCACAAACTGCCTGAATGCGCATTTGCATTATCGTAAGTCTGGTAAGAAGAATTTGGTTGCCAATGCTCTCTGCCGTGTAAAAGCTGTGAAAACAGAAGGAGCATAGCCCTGGGAGAACATTTGCCAGGAACACCAAGACTGGAGCTGTGTGTGTTGTATCAATTTGGGGGAAACGTCATTTCATTCCACTTCAAACTGCAATAATTTGCAAATGAGATTCAGTGCAAGTATAAGAAACGCACATTGGGTGAATTATACTGTTATTGGAAGAAAGGCTAAAGTGATTGGGGCTTTTGCTTTAGAAAGCCAAAGGCAATTAAAGTGGGGTCTTGATAGAGGTTTTTTTAAATTATGCACTGGGTGAAGAAAGCAGACAGGTATATTTTTTCCTTCTTTAAAACTTGATCTCAGAATCGGCCATGAAATTGACATAAAGTTCTTTTACCACACAAAGCAGAAACTAAATGACTTTTAAAATGGAGGACAGGTGTATGACCAGTTATCATCTATGATTTTTAATGAAAGTAAACCTCATGTAAACAATATGCCTAGCCACTGTTGAGAATAAGCTGCTGGAGCAACTTTGATTTGACAGCAAAGCTCTTCTTAGGGATTTACTGTAATATAAGATTGTCACTTGTGTGTGGCTGAAGGACTTACTTTGCTTTATATGTCATCAGTCTCTAATGAATGTAGGTAAGTTCATATCCAGGAGCTAAAGGGCTGTAAAGGGATCAGGTACTATAAACAGGTGTTACATTTGGATTTCTATGCAGCAGTAAGTCACATTTGAAAGCCTCATGCTTTCTGCTCCTCAAGTCGCCAAGAAAAACAAAATCTAGGCAGATTTTCACACTTCAGTTAGGCTACAGCAAGCATCAATTGCTACACAAACATTGCTGGTTCACACAGCGTAATATATACTTTAATCAGAAGAAAACTACATAAGCCATTTGCCTACAACCGCTTTGCTGGTAAGCCAAAAAGCCAGCACAGAGCAGTCAGATGAAATGAGGCCCATCTATTAGAACAAAATAAAATCTAGAAAGTCAGTGATTAGAGAAGGATTTCCGGGCACACTGCACACAATTAGGAACAACCTATATACTACTAAAAAAATTAAGGGTGAGAAAGAAGCGATTCTTAGTTGAGCAGTGCAAACCCTATGACTATTTACTTGGAAGTCTGTCCAAGCCATGCAATCCAGTAACACTTACATCCATATCCCAAAATATTTACATAAGGAAAGAAAGAAAAAACAGTAAATAGAAAATACTTGGCAGGGGAAATAACATCATCAACTGAACTCAATAGTCTTTTTTCTCTCCTTTTTTTTTTTTGAGATGGCCACAAATAGCATTCATTTTTAAACTATTCAAGTCAGCTCAATTTTACTATTTTAGCCACTGCCTTATCAATAAGATTTCTCATCAGCTCATTCTACAGTACCTTAAAATTTGAAATAATAGAAAATGTAGAGGATTAATTAAACAGCTAAAACATTTAAGTTAGGAGTCACCAGTACAGTCAATAGCATTACTTTAAACAAAATAGCGTCTGTATTTTGTGCAAAGAAAGCAAATGAAACCACTCTTCATGCTTTGTAGAGACCAGCATCTTCTAACAAGTGGTGTTTACTTAAGAAACAGAGATGGTACTGTTTTTTTAAAAAAACCTGTTACCCCTTTTACGTAATTATCAACAATATCTTTTCTCTTTACTAGTTTCTAGACAAAACAAACTAAGCAAACACTAAAGTATTTTAAGGCTAAAGAAGTTTGGAAATGATGTCATCATTTTTCTATTTGCTTCCCCATAAATGAATCTTGTCTAAGTTTTGTCTCAAATATAATGGCTTTTAACAACAATGGATGGGATCCAGATTTACCATTGGGCTTATAGCTGCTCATTCTTATATTATAATCTGGTGGTGTCCATTTGGACATTGCTGGGCCGTTTTCTTAATATCTGCCACAAGTGAACTCTGAAAAACCGATTCCTAAACTGAATATTCATTCAGATTATATCCAGAAGTAATCATCAGCTATAATGCGCAATGGTTTCCAATACTTTCCCACTGGAGCAGCTCTTCCTAAAATCACTACTGATGTGAGCTAAATCCCAGATTCACTTTCCAGCCCTTATTTAATCTAATCATTCCTCCTGAAGCCTTTGCAACGCTTCTCGTTTATAATGGCCTTGCTGAATTAGACCAAGGTCCATCACATTTGGCATCCTGTTTCAAATAGCAAGAGTGAGGATGGAAAATTCTAGTATCCAGGCGAGCTTCAGGGGCAGAGCCTAGGAATGTCAAAGTATGCAGCTCAGCAGTAAACTCTTTAAATTACGCATGTGCTTGCACAAGTCCCTTGATACCGTTTTACAGGTGGGTCCCACTGAGACCAAGAGCTTCTATTCCAAAAAAACAGGCAGTGAATCCATGGCAAAGAACTCAAACTCATGCAAAGCAAGTCATGGAAGGCAGAGAACCAAGTCGCAGACCAAGAGGATACATGGAAGGGAACTCAACATCAATGCAAAGTAGAACACCAAGGGAAATTATGCATATTATGACAACTAATTTAGCTCATTTCAAGGAATCAAGTGCCTAGAATATTTACCACCTACCGTATTTTTTGCTCTATAAGACTCACTTTTCCCCTCCTAAAAAGTAAGGGGAAATGTGTGTGCGTCTTATGGAGTGAATGCAGGCTGCGCAGCTATCCCAGAAGCCAGAACAGCAAAAGGGATCGCTGCTTTCACTGCACAGCGATCCCTCTTGCTGTTCTGGCTTCTGAGATTCAGAATATTTTTTTTCTTGCTTTCCTCCTCCAAAAACTAGGTGAGTCTTGTGGTCTGGTGAGTCTTATAGAGCGAAAAATACGGTACTTGCAGACACAAAAACAAACACACACAAAAAACCCCACACTTTTATATCAACACCAAGAAACACACGCTTACCCATTCCATTCAAACACACAGAGCTCTCACATAGCTTAGCCAAATGCCTCCAGTGAGGAGTCGCCCAATGTGCCCACCCAAATGGTAGTCAGACGAAAATAGGAATTCCAACAACAACAACAAAGGAAGCAGAAATTTCTGTGGTCTGTGTATTCATCTGAGGTCAGGAACAGAAATCAGTCAGGCAAATGCAACTGGCATTCATTCACATTGTTGTTCTTTTTAAGTCTGCAAACGGTACATTACTAGAGACTGGGGTGTTTTTTTTGTGTGGTTTTTAAACGGTTTCAGTGCTTCCTTTACATTGAAATGAACGTATGTTAAGCAAGTTACGTAAATAGTTACACAACATATCATGCAAGTCACGCAACTTGTATCAGTGGACAGCGAGATGAATAACACAGTGTTTGGCAGAAACTGAACTGCAGTGGAACAGAAGCAGTGCTGATTGTGATGGTTACTTTGGAACAGGAATCATCACTGCCTTCTTTCTTCCTTACTTAGAAGACACTGGCACCAGTATCACTGCCAATAGTTGCCAGCAGAAACCCCTCAAACTGGGGGATTGATTCCAGTCCTTGATTGCAACAGGCCTAATCCAAGCCCCTTCACTGTGCCAGTAAACTATGGTGCCCAGAATTCTTTGAGGGAAAGGCTGTGCTTTAAAAGGTATTGTGTGTACGCAGATGCAGATATATGACTTTAACAGCAAGACAGCCTCCCTCCTTACATACACAATTTGTTTAACATCCAGCCCGAGGAAGAGTTCTGGAGAAGATGAAAGCTTGCTCACTATTTTGTGACATCTTGTTTCATCCCAATAAAGGTTGTGCCCTACAGTGGATTTTGAAACAGTGGAAACCTTTGCAAACAAGCGCCTTAATGCACATGTTGCACATGCTATCAGGGGCCGTTTTTGTGACTGGATCAATCTGAAAGAGGCTGCAAAATCTAAAGCTAATATTGAACCGTCCAAATTCAAGCCAGCCCTGACTTTGTGATGGCACCTGATAATCTGAGTAATCCCTCCTTCAGCGGGAATTAAAGCAAAGCACATGCTAAACATCAGTGTTAAAATACCTTATGAAACAACCCCATTTTTCTGCACAATGCTTACACAAAAACAACACTCCGAAGTCTCGGCAAGGCACACAGCTCATTGCAAAGGGCACCGATTAAAACCACATGCATTAAGGTGCATACATTTGAAATTGGGTTGTCAGTAATAAAACCCCCAGTTAGGGAACAGCAAATGCAAGGAACGGGAACTAAGGTTTCACAAAGGGCGCATGGATTTCAGAAGAGGAATCCAGTACTCACCTTGGACAATGCGGCAAACCGAACAACATGCACACGCTGGAAAAGGAGCCATATATTAAGAGCTTATCATGCCGAGATGGGAGGGGTGGTAAAGCACTTAAGTTCATTTCCCCCCAAGCCATTTTGGAGGCCGAAGAACAGATAAGGTTAAGCTATGCTCCATTTATATACTCAACTACATAAGAGACGGATACATAGCATCTGCCCCATGTACAGTGGTGCCCCGCAAGACGAACGCCTCGCAAGACGGAAAACCCGCTAGACGAAAGGGTTTTCCGTTTTGGAGGCGCTTCGCAAAACGAATTTCCCTATGGGCTTCCTTCACAAGACGAAAGCCCATAGGGAAATCTCCGGGACAGCGGGGAAGCGCAGCGCGTCTTCCCCACTGTCCTCGGACCTCCTCCGAAGCCTGGCGGCAGGGCGGGGACACCTCCTCCCGCCGCCAGCCTTTGTTTCTCCGCTATCCCGGACGGCTTTTGAAGGCAGGCGGGGGGGAGCAAAGACTTTTGCCCCCCGCCGGCCTTCAGAAGAGGTCCAGGACCTCTTCTGAAGGCTGGCGGGGGGCAAAAGTCTTTGCTCCCCCCTGCCTGCCTTCCCGGGGGCTTTTAAATCGCCCCGGGACAGCGGAGAAGTCCTCCGCTGTCCCGGGGTTTTTTTAAAATGCTGGGGGTGGGAAGAAAAGCCCTTGTCCCCCCCCCCCAGCGTTCAGAAGAGGTCGGGGGACAGACTGTCCCCGGACCTGGTCTGAAGGCGGTTTCCATAGGAACGCATTGATTGATTTTCAATGCATTCCTATGGGAAACCGTGCTTCGCAAGACGAAAAACTCGCAAGAAGGAAAAACTTGCGGAACGAATTAATTTCGTCTTGCGAGGCACCACTGTAATTAACAGTGGAAATAGTTAAGTGCACACACATAGGATGCTATTTGTCAGAAGGCAACAAAGTACTCATACAATTATTATCTCATTAATTATCAAAGTGGGGCAGGCCAATGGGTATTATTATTACCAATTCACAAATAAAACAAACTGGAGAAGGAGCGGGTTGCCCAAGGCTGATTGAAGAGTCCCTGGCAAATTCTATCATCCATTCGGCCACAAAAATAAAACACACCCAGAAATTCATTCTGCAAGCCTCTATAAAGCTCATTGACCCCCTGAGTACCGCACTGCACACCTAATTGATAAAACTATAATTGTGCTTTCACAAACTGCAAGGCTTGCTTGAGTATCTATTTTACCCAACATTATAACCATTTGATTATGCTGAAGGCATTGACAAGCAGTCTTTGTGTATGTTATCTCACACACAGGTATTATTTTTTTACATCACCGAATACTTCAGAGAAGTCTGCTCAGGATACCAGAAAAAATGCAGTTGGGTGTTAAAACCATCTTTCTTTCTTTTTTTACAGCAAGTAACAAAACTGAGGCATTAAAGAATCAGATTTTGGGGGCCGGAGCGGGGCCGAAAAGAAACTGAAAGTCCCACTGTGCAAGCAAACTGACACCACCCATTCATATGCTTCAATCAGCCAACTCTTTTGATATGGGCTTCTGGTTATTATCTATTTACTCTTATGGAGAATGTGAGATAATATGGAGAGATAACCTATTTTGTATGTATGTGATAGGAACAATGCATGCGCCTATAGTATGAGCTGCTTATAGTGCAATGTGCTGCGCACAGGCTGTGTGTGCTCATCTTTGCCTGCCCATATGGACAATAAAACGTGGCCTGCGTTGATATGTGAAGATTGATATCATCGCACAATATTTCACAGCCCACTGCATCTATTCCCTCTGAATGTTAACCTGGGCTCCATATAAAGCATGCATTAGTTGAGCAGTCAGGCTGCTGTAGAACAGGCATAGGCAAACTCGGCCCGCCAGATGTTTTGGGACTACAACTCCCATCATCCCTAGGTAAGAGGACCAGTGGTCAGGGGTGATGGGAGTTGTAGTCCCAAAACATCTGGAGGACCAAGTTTGCCTAGGCCTGCTGTAGAAGAATATCCACCACAGGACCGAGAAGGACAAACCATTTCATCACTAGGGATGAGCTGACTGGCTGGCCCCAGCAATGCCACAAACCCTCCACCTCTGCTTATTCCACATGTTGTTTGGCAATTTTTTAAAAAAACGGATTTCCCTTTTCTTTCTTTTCTTTAAGAAAACAAAACCGACAGCTGAACATTCAAATGAATAAACATTCAGGGGATGCAGAGAGCATGGCAGGAGCAAAAAAGCAAAACAGAATGACTGAATCAGCATTCAAATCCCTGATAAGTACACATGGCCAACGCACTGTTAAGGTGGGGTTCACTCCACAGAGTTCGGAAACACAGTATTCAACCAAGTATAGGGGAAGGTTCTTTTATTGTTTAACATTTTATCATGTTTTTATATATGCTGGAAGCCACCCAGAGTGGCTGGGGCAGGCCAGTCAGATGGGCAGGGCATAAATAATAAAATTATTATTATTATAAATTTACTCGGAGCAAATCCAATGCAATTAATGGACCTAACAGTCATGTCCATTAATTGCAGTTGGTCTGCTCTGAGTGAAACTTAGTCTTGTTTACAGATGTACTTGAATGCACCCTGTATGCAGTTGCTTTGTACATTTAACACTCCCTTTAAAGGCAGAAAGACCGCTGCAATGAGCCTGGTCAGCCAATTATTGTGGCTTCAGATAGATTACTACCCAGGGAAGGGGAGTGACAGTGACTTTTTAAATCTACTTCTGGATATCAGGGAGCTTGTCACTACTGCACAGTATTGAGTATATTCTACTTGTCTGTGTTTTGTCAGCATCTTTGTCACATTCTGAGTGCCTAAAATTACTAGGTGCTTCACCGTAAATTTGGTTTTGCAACTCAGGTCACCGTTAGACTTGCTAAATACTGGATTTAGCAAATCAAGTGCCATTTACATGTAGTTTTGCCCAATGCAACTTGCATTACAAACACAAAACCATCGGCTCCTTTTCATTCCAGGGACAGAGAAAGCAACCCTTATCCCCAAGTTCTTCAGTCCACAGCAACTGGAGTTCTTCAGTTGAGATGTCTCTGGGCAAAGCCACTTCCGGACCTGGCCAGGAGGTGGGGTTGCGGGCTTCACGCCCACCCCACGTGAGCTGGTTTTCAGACCCCGCGAGAGCAGGGAATCCCGGCCGCGTCGTCCACAAAGCCAGCCAATCGGGTGGCTGAGGGGCGTGGCCTGCCCTATTTAGGGCCGGCGCGGCCAGGGCTCGCCCTCTTTTGCCGGCTAGCCCCCAGTTGACGTGCCTCAGCAGGAGACTCCCCCTCTATGGTGCTAACCCTTCCCGTGTCTCCAGCAAATGGGCTGGAGCCGGATAGTCGATAGGACCAATGCCTAAGCCAATGCCTCTCATTCCTGAATTCAATAAAGTTGTGGCCTAATTCACCCATTTAACCTTAATTCTGGTGTCTGGTGTCTTTATTTATCCTTGGTGGGGGGCGGGAACTCGCCACGCAAAAAGAAACTTCTGAACCACCCTAAGCACAATGTGGGCACTATATGAATCATTATATTAGTATTATTTTTAAAATTTGTATACCGCCCTTCACCTGCACATCTCAGGGCAGCTCTGCTGCAGCAGAAGCCCTAACCGACCCAGAACAACAGTGATAACATTTTAGAAAGAGCAGGTGAGCATGTTATTTCTTGGACCAGATTAAATTTATTACTTTGGTAGGTCTCCTGAACATGATAAATATAGAAGAGGAGGCAGAGGCCCGACACTGCATCCGCCTAGCCCTTACGGATCTGCTAAGTGCATACTGAAATATATGGCTGCAAGCCCATAGAGTGAAATTTTGTGATAAGACAGGGTAAGTCAATGTGCAACAGCAAACATGCAAATATCAAAGTCTAAAGTTACTTTTTATTAATTCTAATTGAATTAGATTTTAAGTGGCAGTTGCTCAAATGGTCACCTCAGTCCTATAACCATGCCCTAGATTCTAGGGTGACGACTGACAGATTCCATTTGAAACACAGAGTTTCCTTATGTCTCTCCAATACAATATTATCCAACTAAACAATTTTTGCATTTTGCAAACATAAAAATCCCAACATCGTTCGTGGCAGCAATAATACTGTACCCAACTATGTAGTAGGTAACATCGAGGCCCCCCTCCGCCAAAAAAAACCAAAACAAACCCAATGGGATGAATGACAATGTAAAAATGGAAACATGTTATTTGGACTTACTACAAAAGTTAATATCTGAGAACAGTTTGGGTCTTCAGTTAATGGGTAGAAAAGGGGGAGGATGGCAGTGCTAGAGGTGAATATGGTAGGAGATTGCACTTTCTAGGTCCACTTTATTCCAGTCTTTAAAATTCTGACAAAAACATCACAATTCAGCTAAAACATCCCAACCCGAAAACCAGGGGAAACCATTGAAAAATGGCAGGTGTATCAATGGAAAGCTGTTTGGCAAAGAATCTCAGGTTTGAAAGGCCTGTCTGACAAACAGAGGGTGTGTGTGTATGGGTACAGGTATAGGTATATGTGTGCGGTGTGTGTGTATGTGTGTAAGGTAAAGGTAAAGGGACCCCTGACCGTTAGGTCCAGTCGGGGACGACTCTGGGGTTGCAGCGCTCATCTCGCTCTATAGGCCGAGGGAGCCAGCGTACAGCTTCCGGGTCATGTGGCCAGCATGACTAAGCCTCTTCTGGCGAACCAGAGCAGCGCATGGAAGTGCCGTTTACCTTCCCGCCGGAGTGATACCTAGTTATCTACTTTCACTTTGACGTGCTTTTGAACTGCTAGGTTGGCAGGAGCAGGGACCGAGCAACAGGAGCTCACCCCGTTGTGGGGATTCGAACCGCCGACCTTCCGATCAGCAAGTCCTAGGCTCTGTGGTTTAACCCACAGCGCCACCCGCATCCCTCGTGTGTGTGTGTGTATGGGGCATCTAAATACAAACAGGGAGGACTCTTGTGGAACCTCTATTGGCAAGCAGCTCTACGGTGAAGGGGCTGCCACGCAAAAAGTTCAAACCCTTGGTAAAGACCAGAGATATGTGGGGAGTCTTCTACAGTTCTCATGCTTAATTCTTGCTCCTTTTAGGTAACCGATGCAGAGAGGGGGGAAATCAACTCTTGCACTGACCTGAGCGTCCAATACTTTCTGATGCACTTTTGGACGTTTTGGGGTGACTCTGCTTGCTACTTGTCCGCGCTGAAACTGAGGGGGCAGGAGGTGGCGGACTCACAGTGCCGCTGCTGCTCTCTCCCCTAATTGTGGTGAGATCTTGCATGCTGAAGCTGCGGAGCCTCTCCGACAGAGCGCCCTGGCCCTATGAAAACAGACAAAGAGACACGGAGTACCTTAAGCGATTAATTTATTGCATTTCTGCACAACTTCAGAACATGAAGAGGACAATCAATCTAGTAGCAACATACAGACTTACACTGAGACAGACCATTTTTTCCTGGATTACCGTATTTTTCACTCTATAAGACGCACCAGACCACAAGACGCACCTAGTTTTTGGAGGAGGAAAACAAGAAAAAAAATATTCTGAATCTCAGAAGCCAGAACAGCAAGAGGGATCGTTGCGCAATGAAAGCAGCAATCCCTCTTGCTGTTCTGGCTTCTGGGATAGCTGCGCAGCCTGCATTCGCTCCATAAGACGCACACACATTTCCCCTTACTTTTTAGGAGGGAAAAAGTGAGCCTTAGAGAGCAAAAAATACGGTAACATTGAAAAGGTAACATAAAACATGTTCAATGAATTCCTCTTTATTATTCCAACAGGCACAGATGCCTTCTGAATATTTTTCTTATCTTACCAGGCTGTTCCTGAAAAACAGCATGTTTTCAAGGTGTGCAAAACTCTTTGTCATCTGAAATAGGTGTCTGAAATTTCTTTAGTTTCAGTTCTGAGAGGGTTGCTGTACAAAGCAACATCATCTTCCTCAGGACTTATTTTTCCTTATGCCTGGGATAGTACTTAACTCTTTGCCATATTAGTGCTGGGTTAAAGTATTCAGCCCAAATTTTGTGCAGCATTTGGAGGTGTGATTTTTGGGGGGGAGGGGTACCTCTAAAGATGGTTGTGTTCCAATATATGATTACAGCGGCGAGATTTTAATATGCACAAAGATTGAAAGACTAATTGTCAACTATGGAGGAATGGTTATTAAAATTATTGAGCTTAGCCGATATAGTGAAATTGGCATGTTTACTCAGAGAAAAGCCATTGTTAATATTTACTAAAGATTGGAAACCTCTCATACAATTTTGCGTGTAAAAGAAAATGAATTAATGACATTTGAGTTTGAAGGCTGAAGATAATGTTGGTTTACATAAAGTAGTCTTGCTGGGTGTTATATTGGAGTGAATGAGTTGAATAATGTTTATATATAGCTGCCAGATGAAGAATCAGAAGTTCTTCAGTTTCTTAACTTTATTTTTTAAAATCTCTTTCAATCTCTCTACCTCCTTCTTTTCTCTCTCTTCTTTTCCTCTGGATCTGTGTTTTTATCTAGATTAACATTTTAGTTTGGATTAAAAAAGATATTTGATGTTAAACAAAGATCATTGAGGGTAAACAGGCACTGCACTGAATGGGGCTTCTGCAAAAGAACTTGCTGGTAGATTGTGCTCAGAGGCTCCAACTAAAAATGCAATGTGTAGCACAAGGTGAAGTAAGGGCTTCCTTCCTTGCTGAGTTTAATCCATGCTTGAATCTCCCAGTACTGAAGTCACTTCAGTAGGGAAACCTTCATGTAACTTGAATTTCTTCTTAAGCCACATGTGCTCCTAGGAAATCTAATACAGAACAGCTTAGTTTATGCACAACTTGGATTAAGAACGCTGCAAACCCGGAAGTAGGTGTTTTGGTTTGTGAAGTTTGCCTTGGAAGCAGAACATGTTCCGCTTCCTGTTGAGTGTGTTCCATTTGTAAATTGAGTCCCCTGCTGCTATGGGAAAGCACGTCTTGGTTTAAGAACGCTTTGGTTTAAGAACGGACTTCCGGAACGGATTAAGTTTGTAAACCAAGGTACCACTGTATGTGGAATGCAACCTTGGCTGGGTTGAAGAATGAACATTACCATCTTTGACAACAGACAATTAAATGTAAGCTAATATTTCTAGTGGATCTTCTTGCCATACATTGAAAGCTGTCCCCAGCTCTGTATTTTGGATCAGAATAGAAGTAATGGTTTGCTTTTGCTAGTAAAACCCGAGTTAGACTTTAAAGCTGAATACACAAAAGCCACAGAAGGGAAACTAAGCCAAAGTCAGTACTCTGTAAGTTAGTCCCAATAGTAACCACAACACTTTTTTTTGTTGTTGTTGTTGTTTAGTAATAAATGCTACATTTTCCAATCATGGTGGTTAGTTTAGCAGTTAACAGAAACACTGACAGGGTTACCTGCCCTTCTTTCAGGTCCAAATACAAGAGAAACTGAAGGAGCTGGGAGATCTGGCAGGTGAAAAAGAGACCCCATTGTGGCAACACATGACGACACAGAGAAATTCTGAGAATACTCCACAGCAAAGGTGAACGAAGTCACAGGTGGACTTTGGTGCTAAGAGACTGTGGGTGATCTTGCTGCTATCATTCCAGGTTCTGTTGCTCGTGTGGCAGTGGCGTAGCTCTGCACTCGGATTTTCTTGGCCTAATATTATCTGTAGTCCACTAGAATGTTTAGAGCAGGCATAGGCAAATTCGGTCCTCCAGATGTTTTGGGACTACAATTCCCATCATCCCTGACCACTGGTCCTGTTAGCTAGGGATGATGGGAGTTGTAGTCCCAAAACATCTGGAAGGCCGAGTTTGCCTACGCCTGATTTAGAGTAATGCTGAACGTAATACATTGGAGACTCCACCTCTTTATATCTACTTACAGTACTTAAGGACCTTCAGGCATTTGCAAACACTAACCGACTCAGGTCACTTTTAGGTGACCTGTTTATTGAGAAGCCACTCTGGTTTATTTACAGGCAAGGCCAGCACAGCCATTAGGTTGGGTGAAGCCACTGCCTCTAGTGGAGGAAGCCCTCAAGGCGGTGCCCCCGTGGACATCCTGCCGCCTCCACATCTGGCAGAGAAGCGGCGCTGGCACCACCACCAATTTCAGGCGAGATCTCACTGAAATCACCCGATTTCTTGAGACCTCACCTGAAATCGGTGCCAATGTCTGTGCAGCTTCTCTGGCGGCGGCAGTGGGGTGACACAGGCAGCAAGGGAGGGAAGCACCTTGTTCGCAGGGATGTTGTAAGATGTCACATCAAACAAGTATCACCACAGAATTTTCGGTGCATTTTCCTCTCCCTACAAGAAGTCACATTTTGGGGGAGGGAGCAGGAGGGCCAAATCCACTTTGACTGTGCAACCTGAATTTGCCAGTATGCCACTGAATCCCACCCGCAAAATAGTAGCAACCTGGAAGTGGCCAGAATTTCAAACTGTTTCCGTATAGGAAAGCATAATTCCACTTCGTAACAATTCACAAAAAGCTTAAACACAATGTCAAGGGGTGAATCTATTAACAGGGATGGGGGGGATCTCAAGCTCAGGTGCCAAAAGCAGCCCTCAAGAACTACTCTATGTGACCCTCAAAAATCTCCCCAGGCCACACTCTTCATTGGCTAGCCTACTAGTCAAAGTTTACATTCGTTGATCCTCTCATTGTCAACTATGGCTCCACCCACCACTGCCATGTGGCCTCCAGAAGGTTGCCCAGAAAGGAATGTGGCCCTCTGCCTGAAAAATGCTCCCCACCCTGATATATATCAAACCCCTAGGCCCTCTACCCATAGCTATCAACCGTCCCTTATTTGGCGGGAAAGTCCCTTATCCCAGCGCTGAGTCCCGCTGCTGTCCCTTATTGATGATGTTCCTTAAATTTCCCAGGTATCAAAGGAAGCAGCTCCTCTCCCTCCCTGCCTGCCGGCCAGGGAGGAGGGAGGCTCCAACTGTGTTGCTTGGCTGCGTTGCTCACCCAATAAGGAGTCTAAGAACGACTGGGGGGTGGAGCTTGCATGCTTTGTGCCAATCAAATCGGCTGCGTTGCCTGGGGACTCGCCTTTGCTCAGCGCTTTCCAGCGGAGAGGTGATGGTGGTTTTCCTTGCTGCATCCCCTTTGCCGGGTTGCTGCACTGTGGGAACCACTGCTTGAGGCTTTGTTTGGCTGCTGGTTGTCTAAAATCCCTTATTTTGGATGCTGATCCCTTATTTTCGAGGCTGCTGGTCCCTTATTTTCAAATCTGTAAATTGACAGCTATGCCTCTACCTTGTATCAGAAATTCTTCAGATTAATTTTTTGCATTTGCAGAGTCTGCAAATCAAAATGACAAAAGCAACCTTGCCTAGAATGCTTGTTCAGTGTGACAATGTCTCTCTGTTTTACATTGACAATATTGACTAGAAAGAGCACCACATCTCAGGCTTAAACTAATGTTTCCTGAGGTTTCATAACTTGAAAGCGTGAACACCCTTTGCCAAAGGGACAAAGTGGCCATATTAAGAGGAGACTCTCCTTTATGCCAGCAGGTGATCATTTTAATGGACCACAGTTGTATCATATTTAATTGCAATAATTGTAAGAAGTCATTACTAATAAGTGCAGTTTAATAAAATAATTCAGTTGTATCAATTAACTAATACTCCAGTATTGCTAGACAAGAGTTCATATGCTCGATTCCAGTTTCTGAAAGAACCAAGTGTTTCTCACTTGGATTTGTGTACCATTTGGGCTACATTCGGTAAAATATCTCTTTATAATTTCTGAGCCCAGTACACTCATTGTACGTGTTTTTAACCCTAAATCCAAATTCTGCTGCCAGTTATCCAAAAGGACAAGTCAGTAGAAGTCTGAATGAGACTCTGGGATGTTTGTAAATAGCCATCGCTTCCCTCAAAGAATCTTGGGAAGTGTAGTTTCTGAAGGGTACTGATAATTGTTAGAAGACTTCTGTTCATCTCACAGAGTTACAATTCCCAGTGTGGTTTAACAATAAAACCCTCTTCCCAGGTAATTTTTGGAGTTGTAGCACTGTGAGGGGAAAGGGGGCTTCCTCTCAGCGTCCTTAACAAACTGAATTTCCCAGGATTCCTTTGGGGGAAGCCATGACTGATTATAAAGTGGTTAATCCTGCTTGAAATAGTGCATGTGTGCCAAGATTGTGCAATTCCAGATTTCTATGGTCTTGCTCTGTTTATTAGTCACAAGAGGTCTGTACATAAAAAGTTAAAGAATTAAGAGCATTCTGTCCTGAGCGTTATGTCTCAGGCACTGATTGCCACTGGCTAGGAACATAGACTTGTGATGTTAACACAACCACTGTATCCTTCGTTATCCCACTGGTTACCTTGGAAGCTGCCATCACAGCAGCTGTGGCTGCAACATTTAGCCCCCGCTTCCCAAAATGCACCAGGGCATCATAGCTTCGATCTTTTGCTTGGACTAGGCAGTCATCTATTTCCTATCATGGAAGACAAAAAATATATATAAATAAAATGAAAACACAATCGAAAGGGATTTCGCCTCCAGGCTCCTCCAAAGTACTTTTGCATTCATTCTCTGTCCTCAGACACATTCAGAGACAATTCTGGGTCAAACCACCTGCAAGAAGGGCAGCCATGCTTGTTTATTCATGTGTCTCCCCAGTTACTACGCAAAGTGTTGAGGGATTTTTATATGCAAAAGGGTGTGCAGGTGAGGGGAGCCGAATCTACCTTCTTTTCTCCCTCTCTGCTGTTGAAGCAACAGAGTGTGGAAAAGGGAAGATGAGAAAGAATTCACCTCTCCTCATTCATGTTTTCCATATGTTGTAAGCATTAGAAACGACACACTTTAAATGCAGCTTTAAAAAAAGTTTGCCAATAATCTGACCATGAGTAAAGGGACCCCTGACCATTAGGTGCAGTTGTGACCGACTCTGGGGTTGCGGCGCTCATCTCGTTTTATTGGCCGAGGGAGCCGGCGTACAGCTTCCGGGTCATGTGGCCAGCATGACTAAGCCACTTCTGGCAAACCAGAGTAGCGCACGGAAAGGCCGTTTACCTTCCCGCCGGAGCGGTACCTATTGATCTACTTGCACTTTGACGTGCTTTCGAACTGTTAGGTTGGCAGGAGCTGGGACCGAGCAACGGGAGCTCACCCCGTTGCAGGGATTCGAACCGCCGACCTTCTGATCGGCAAGTCCTAGGCTCTGTGGTTTAACCCACAGCGCCACAAGCGTCCCTGGGGCCTGTATAGATACAGGTAAATCAGAAGGCTACCTCTGGGGCTTTGCATTCTCCCAAGCCTGGCTGAGGCCCAGTCTGAGAAGGAGCAATCTTATAGCCTATCTTGAGGAAGAGGTTTTGGCACCTGCCCTGGAGGCGAAGCTGATACGTCTACCAAGCTGTTTGCTTATTTATAAATAAATAAAAAATTAAGGGCCCAGAGCGGTTTACATAAAAGAATAAAGCCAAACCAAACACCTTCAGGTGACAAAAACTATGACTAAACCATCAAAATAAACAAAAGCAGAATTGAAAATCTCCAATCATACTGAAAGCCACAAGGAATAATGATGTTTTTACCACCTGCCTTGCATGTCACAAAGGATGGAGCTAGTTGCACCTCCTTTGGGAGGGAAGTCCATAGCGAAGACAAAGCCAGTCAGATTCCCACCAAATGAACCTCTTTTGGTGGTGGAACATATAACAAGACCTTAAAAGAGAATTTCAGTCTATGGGCTGGTTCATAGGAAATGAGCTGGTCTTTGAGCTATCCTGGCCTTAAGCTCTTTACAGCTTTACCGGTTGGCTGTGATATATCGAAACTAATTAATGATATACAAGGATCTGAAATATGTTATTACTGTTATTATGATTATAATTATGTTATTTCATGTGGTTTTTAATTCTATTAAATGGCTGCCATGGAGAAATTTTGAATGGTGGCCTGTACATTTGTTAAACTAATAAAACGATCTGTGGATACTTTATTTTTATTAGAAACCAAGCTACCAGACCACCTGAAAGTGTTTAAGTCCAATAGCTCCAGGTACATTTGACCATCATTTCCTCATCTCAGTAGGGACAATTTTTTCAGTAACGATGTTTATAGTAATTTGTGAGAAACGATTGGATTCAGCAGCTCTGAGCTTTGCAAAGCAACACAAACAGATGAAAAAATCTGACTGAGGTGAAAGAACCACCTTATCAAGAGAGAATAGCAGAACATTGAAATATTACATGAAAATGACATATGCCCTAGACATATCTACTCAGAAACAAGCCCAATTGAGCTTACTCCAAGATAAGTATGGATGGAATTGCAGCCTAAATTGTCCTTCTGCAATAATCACTACCCCCAACTACAGTAGTGAGAAACAGTTGCAATTACCTTTTCTTTTGAGGACAGTGTGGGGTGCACAAATTTCCTATACAGGAGGCTGGAGCCCTTTGTGTAAGGAGACAGCAGCCAAGCTACAAAAGCTATTTTGAGTTCGTAATAAAATGGGAACCTGAAGGAAAAGAAAAGAGCATATTTAGCCACAGGAAGTTGTACATTTAGGCCTCATCCAACATTTAAGAATCAACACTCTTGACAATCAGAGCATAATCCAGGATGAAAATCTAGCACATTAGATATAGAGATATAGATATACAAAATTGCTATTATTATTATTATTATTATTATTATTATTATTATTATTATTATTTATGCCCCGCTCTCCCCAGCCAAGACTGGGCTCAGGGCAGCTAACAACCAATAATAAAACAAGTTGATTGAAATACAACTTAATAACAAGATTAAAATGCAACATTAAAACATTAAAATGCAGCCTCATCACAGGAGGAGAAAGGAAAAAAGAAAAAAGGGAGTCAAATTGATTCTAAGCCAAAGGCCAGGTGGAACAACTCTGTCTTACAGGCCCTGTGGAAAGAAATCAGATCCCGCAGGGCCCTGGATAGAGCGTTCCACCAGGCCGGAGCCAGTGTTGAAAAGGCCCTGGCTCTGGTTGAGGCTAATCTAACTTCCTTAGGGCCCGGGACCTCTAGGGTGTTGCTATTTATGGACCTTAAGGTCCTCTATGGGGCATACCGGGAGAGGCGGTCCCGTACGTATGAGGGTCCTAGGCTGTGAAGGGCTTTAAAGGTCAAAAATAAAAGTATATTACATCGGTTTTGAAATATGGTAGCATTACTTTAAAAATAATAATCTTGGAGTGCCAAGTTACATTTGGGTGCATCCATCCTTCCACTTAAGAAAGAGAGAGAGAGAGCCAGGAACTAGAGGAGGATATACTGCCAGTGAGTTTCTTGGATAGCTGCATTGACACTTGTTGAAAAAGTGCTGACCTGTTCCTTTTCAAAGGCAGCATCACGGTTGTTGTTTTATGTGGCCAATTGCTGATGGGACCAAATGCATTTATAGCAGGGGTGGCTAACCCACGAACTGTGCTCCATCAAGGCTCCCCCAAAATCTGTCCTTTTAAAATCTGAATTTAGTGACGGAGACCCAAAAAGGATTTAAAATAGTGTAAAACAGCTTATAAGAAAGCCTTTCAGAAGGCAGCTTTGAGAACTATGGTTTCCATGTTGCCTATTATTATGTTTTGGCTGCACCCATTTTCACGCTTCAACCATGCCCATGTGGTTGATGGAGGGTTGTCCACTGGTCAATGTGGCCTATGCCTGAAGAAAGGTTGATCATCCCTGTTTTAGAAGTTTCTCCCCTTCCCCCTCGACTTTGCTGATATCTTTAACTCTGTTAGACAAATAAAGAATCCCTTAAAGTTAAAGGGTAAAGGGACCCCTGACCATTAGGTCCAGTCGTGGCCGACTCTGGGGTTGCGGCGCTCATCTCGCTTTATTGGCTGAGGGAGCCGGCGTACAGCTTCTGGGTCATGTGGCCAGCAAGACTAAGCCGCTTCTGGCGAACCAGGGCAGCGCGCGGAAACGCCGTTTACTTTCCTGCCGGAGTGGTACCTATTTATCTACTTGCACTTTGACGTGCTTTCGAACTGCTAGGTTGGCAGGAGCAGGGACTGAGCAACGGGCGCTTACCCAGTTGCAGGGATTTGAACCGCCGACCTTCTGATCGGCAAGTCCTAGGCTCTGTGGTTTAACCCACGGCGCCACCCGCTTCCCGACAAGAATCCCTTAACTGATCTCAAAAGTTCAGTCATCTCTTCATATTGTTCTCCATCCCCACTCAAATAACAACAAAACGAGGTTCCTCACAGCACCATTTCTCTCTTTCTTCTTCTAAGCAATTCAGGCCTTCTTGGCTGATGATGCAACTGCAGAGTCTCATAACACATCTAAATTATAGCTCTCTCCTCTGTGAGTGCTAGACTGACTTTGCAGACCTGCCATACATTTTTTTATTTTATTTCTAAAAGGTCTAGGAAGCCAACAAGCCAACAAATCATTTCCATACATCCTAATGTACAGCCAAAGCACCTCAGCACAAAACCAAATATATCAGATTCTGCAGGGCTGTTAAATTCTTCCTCTAGGCCAGGGGTGGGTAACATGTGGCCCTGCAGCTGATGTCGGAGTCCCACCAACCCCAGCCAGCATGGCCAATGGTCACAGTCGGGTTGATGGATATTATAATCCAGCAGCATCTGGGAGGCCTTCAACTCATGCTTGAAAAAGCAGGAAAACAGGACACAAGATCTACCCACACTGGAAGGATGGCAGATGAAGGTGATGGACTATATGGAACTGGCGGAGATGACTGGCAGAATCCGAGACCAGGGAGAAGAGTCGGTGGAAGAAGATTGGAAGAAATTTAAAGACTATTTACAGAAATATTGCAAAATTAATGAATGTTAGAATGATGTTGGAATGTGGAAAGTGGTTTTAGCAGTAATGTTATTAAGGTTTATGTAAAAATGGATTGTTAATAGATGGGAATTTGAAGTAAAAATATACTAAGAAAAAGGATTAGGATAAGAACAAAGAGGGAAAGGATTTGCTGAACTAATTAATTGATTTGGGATGCAAAAAAGGGAGGTGTGAGGAGGTCCGGGAAACAAGTGAACGAAAGTTAAGATATGGAAATACTGATTTGTTTTTAATTGTTATTCTATTTTTTCTGTTTTTTTGTATCTTATTTTTTCTTTTTTTCTTTTTGTTTCTTTTGTATTACTGTAAAACTTTAATAAATATTATTATTAAAAAAAAGAAAGAAAGAGCAGGAAAACAGGAAGCTCCAGTTTGTTCAGCTGGTGGTGGTTTTCACGGACTGTTTCCACCACCACACCAATAAACTCAAACGTCTATCGCAACAGGGAAATGGGTGGGAGAACAAACTAACTCAATAAGTACAGGCAAACAAGGAATGGAAAACAGGGCACACAGACGAAAAGCACAATATCTTTATCCTTGTTTGCGCCTTTTCTCCCTCCTGCTTCCTTCTTCAAGAGCCCTATCCTAATAAATAATAATAATTTATTACAGTGGTACCTCGGGTTACATATCCTTCAGGTTACACACTCCACTAACCCAGAAATAGTGCTTCAGGTTAAGAACTTTGCTTCAGGATAAGAATAGAAATCGGGCTCTGGTGGCGCGGCGGCAGCAGGAGGCCCCATTAGCTAAAGTGGTGCTTCAGGTTAAGAACAGTTTCAGGTTAAGAACGGACCTCCGGAACGAATTAAGTACTTAACCTGAGGTATCACTGTATTTGTACCCCACCCATCTGGCTGGGTTTCCCCAGCCACTCTGGGCGGCTTCCAACAAAGATTAAAAATACATTAAAATGTCACACATTAAAAACTTCCCTGAATTTTTCCTTCTACCAGCTCAACCTGGGAAGGTAGCCCATCTAGGAGAAGGAAAGCTCTGGCCCTAAACTTCTGCTGCCTTGCGGGATATCTTTGGCAGAAGAAAAGGCTAGGGAGTAAACCCTTCAGAAATCCAGAGTGGAGTCCCTAAGATGGCGCCTTGTATTCCTCCCTCCGACAACTCCTGCAGCCAAACAAGTGCCAGCAACCTGCTTGCTCTCCACTTCAGATTCTTCATGTTCTCTTCCCACTTTCCTCCCCCCCAAGCACCTCCTCTTCCACCACACCCTGGCATGACTTTCCCAAGGCCAACTAATACTATAAGCTTGGGGCATGAAAAGTCAAGGGCCTGCTTCCTTGACGCTTTTAGCACATATTCATGCAAGCAAGCACACACAAGTTAAGTGTACTGCAGCTATGTCAGAAGGGGAACTCTGATCACCACATGAGCCAGAAGGCCCAGCCAACTTCTTCTTCCTTCTGGCTCTGTTCCAACTTCCCTTGTCACTGCCAGCCCACCCACCTGGGAGGTCAATGGATCAAGAAGAACGAAGGGTGGCTGTGAAGAGAGCACCCTGACTGGTTACTGATTCTGGCCACAAGTGGGATGCAATAAGGTGGTGGCAATCTCCTTCCCAGTAGCTGGGCTTGGGCTGGTTTGGCAGTATGATCTGAGTTCTTCATTCCACCACAATCATCACTGAGGGCTCTTGCCTTGAAGAATGGTAAGATGCAACAGTGGACCATCCTTGGGCAACGCTAGTGAGTTTGCCGATGGCAGAGAGGAGATTCTATCTTCTATGCCTCTCTCTACTGTGTGCACTCTGCATCCTCTTTGTTCCATTCTCATTTATTCTTATCATAGATTCAGTTTTTCTTCTTGAAACTAGATTCGGCCTCAGACAAATGTTATGCTCTTCCACATACAGTGGTACCTCGCAAGACGAATGCCTCGCAAGACAAAAAACTCGCTAGACGAAAGGGTTTTTTGTTTTTTGAGCTGCTTCGCAAGACGATTTTCCCTATGGGCTTGCTTCGCAAGACGGAAACATCTTGCAAGTTTGTTTCCTTTTTCTTAACACCGTTAATACAGTTGCGACTTAACTTCGAGGAGCAACTCATAGAACGCGGTGTGGTAGCCTTTTTTGAGGTTTTTAAAGACTTTGGTGATTTTTGAAGCTTTTCCAAAACTTTCCCGACACCGTGCTTCGCAAGACGAAAAAAATCGCAAGACGACAAAACTCACGGAACGAATTAATTTCGTCTTGCGAGGCACCACTGTATGACTACACTCAGAGTGGAGCACTTTTAATTTGTCTGCTTTGCCCTTTTTTAAAACTAATCCTCCACAACCCACTTTGCTGGGTGCTCTCCAGTACCAGTAAAGGTATAGGGACCCCTGACCATTAGGTCCAGTCATGGCCGACTCTGGGGTTGTGGCGCTCATCTCGCTTTATTGGCCGAGGGAGCCAGAGTACAGCTTCCAGGTCATGCGGCCAGCATGACTAAGCCGCTTCTGGCAAACCAAAGCAGCGCACGGAAATGCCATTTACCCTCCCGCCACAGTGATACCTATTTATCTACCTGCACTGGCATGCTTTCGAACTGCTAGGTTGGCAGGAGCAGGGACCGAACAATGGGAGCTCACCCCGTTGCAGGGATTCGAACCGCCAACCTTCTGATCGGCAAGTCCTAGGCTCTGTGGCTTAACCCACTGCACCACCCGTGTCCCAAGTACCGTGCCTCCAGTACCAGTACTCAGAGCCAAATGTGGCAGCAGGATTTGCAGCTTCCCATTCACTACAGCAGACCCATCACATTAAACTCTTTGCAGCCATTTCCCTGCACAGCATTTCCCATCCGATTTATAACACGCACCCCAAACCCCTCGTGTACCACACTAATGTGGCATTTCTGACAGGAAATGTCCAGCTTCTAAGATAAGCACCTGGTGCGCCTGGTGCTATTGAGCAACGTCTAGTATTATCTTGAACTTTTGCTCCTTTCAAAAACATTTGTTTTTCCCTGCTTTTGTTTTTTTGGGAGGGAGGGAGGGAAGGAAGCATCTGGGCGGGATACTAACCAGCAAAGAAAAATGTCCGTGAATGTCTCTGCTGTTGTGAAGAGTGCAAATATGATCCAATACATCATCCATTTTACCTAGGAATAAAGCACAAGAATGGTTATAAGCAAATGTTCGTTTAGCACTTCCTAACGATTGTGGGTATTGCTTCTTTCTCCCAGGCCTCATTCCCTCAGGGCCAGGGCCAGTCCTACCATTGGGCCAAGTCATGTTGGTTTACCTCAGGCGGCAAATTTTGAGGCACCAGTATTATTGTTTTTATTACTATATACTCTGTAAGCATGAGGCACAGGTGCCTTCAGATTTTCTGCCTTGGGCACCAAAATGTCTACTCTTAGGAATAAATGAAAAAGAGTGATTTGAACAAGGGTCATTTGGCACAATAAACTATGGTCACATCCACAGCACACATTTAGAGCGCTCTCATACCCTTAACAGACATGAAGACTCTTGAGAATTCTGTGGGTGGTACCCAGCTAAGTATTACGTAAGGACAACCCATTGAAATTTATGGAACTTGGTCATGTTCATTAATTTCAGTGGGTCTACTTGTGAGCAACACTTAGCTGAATACCACAATGTAGTTCAAGGGTGCTGAGAATTGTACCTCTCTGAGGGCCCTTAACTTCAGCTCCCAGAATCCTTTGGGGGAAGCTATGACTGTTACAGTGGTATAACACCGCTTTAATTATATGATATGAATGTGTCCTAAGACCCAAGAAACTGATAGGAAATTAAATAGATGAAATAGAGGCTCTGAACTTGTTTTCAAATTGCACTGAATTGCATTTAGATTTATAAATCATATTTCAACGTTCTTGTGGAGGAGAGGTCAAACTCACACCATTCACCAAATTTCAATCTAGGTTACTTGTACAAACCAATGTTTCATTTTGTAATGCATTATTAAGCTTAATAGTTAGTTCACACTGTTTAAAAATTAAGAACTTGAGTTTTCATTATTAGCCTAGAACTGTTTTTAGAAAGTATCTAAAAACTGTATGCAGTGACTATATAACAAATACATCAGTTCAAGTGAGTCACTAAGTGCAGGCATTCCTGGCCATTCTTGTAATTCAAGAGTTGTACAAGAGTCTTGAAGTATCTTTAGATTTATTCCTAAGTGACGGAATGGGAAGAGGGCACTAGGCGCTATCTTCAGTTACAAATGTGGACCTAACAGAACACAGTTTATGCCTCCAAGAAGGAGTAAACTATAGGCAACTCATCTCCAAAAGAAGTGTTCACAGAGTAAGGCTCCTGGCCACAAGATTTGTTGGTGCCACAAGCGATCACGTCTGCAATTCTGAATATTCTCTGTGCACTCTTATGCTGAAATGGATATGATAATCCCAATTAACCCCAAACCTCTCCAATGACAGCTATGCAAAAGTTACAAGGATAAGTCCTTATATTACATAACACCTGCTATTTATATACCTCCATATTGCACGATATTTCTATGATCCCCTCTCTTGTAAACTACTGAGAATATTTAGCTGTTCATTCATTTCAGCTTAGCTACTTAGCCTCAGTCTAGCCTTGCCTTGTAAATATGACTATCACAATTTCAATGAATTCCCATATTGGTTTTGTATCACTGCACCCAGTATTTGCAAACTTTTTTTACTGTACCCCAAAACCTGGTTACTACAAAATTAGCTACTGAATGCCTAATTCCTGCTATCTGAAGGTTAGAGTTGGGTATACCAGCCTAAATGTATGCTAAGAGGTGCAGTTAAGTTCACTGTAGTTGGGAAGGGCCATGCTAATAATATTTTTTTAACATTAACAGGCAACAACTGTTCAATAACTGTATTGACGGTTCTTGTTTCTTAACTAATGACAAAATGGCTGCCCAAATTGTGTTCAGCACTGGTGTTAACATCCAATACACCTCTATAAATTACCTAAACTACCATGATGACCCTATTTAAATTGAATTTGGGAATACAGAATTTAACCATTTAAGTAGGGAGTTGAAGGCATACAAGAAAGATGTACGTCATGCAGGCTTCCCACTACTTTTTTTTTAATGGGATTTTATGCAAAAGCTACACAAAAGCATCATTCAATGGGACTTTATACCTAGCATATGTGTTTTTAAATAGTCTCCAGGTTAGCTAATATAGAATTTGCTTTTACAAACATTTCTTCTTTTCTCAGGTGAGGCAAAATGGTGGAAGATGTGCGCTGATTATTTAGCACCAAATATATAGGGAAATCAAATCTGAAACTCTGAAGCATGTTAAGTTCTTCATTCTACCTAAAGAGCCAGGTAAAATCCACTGGGAGGCATTTTGTGAACGGAAACCTAGGTTTACCTTGATAATCCCAGAAGTGATACTTACATATTCTTTAATATCCTTTGATTTTACAGCTTTGTATGAGTAATATGCAGGATAAAGAGTGCCAAACACAAGCCTGGAAAAGGGGGAAAAGAGCAAAGATCATTTTCTGCCACCGGGAAATGTATCTTTTTGAGAAGTAATGGCCACTTCAGGGACATTTTCTCTGAAATATTTTACTCTTAATTCCTGCCTCAGTTTAACTCCTTTCAGCGAGAACAAAACTACATACGTGTAGAATCCAGATTAAATTAAATTAAATTCTCTCCTCAGAGTACTGCAGAAGAACAATGTCAATCAACATTTGATGATCTTCTACTGGTCAACAATAGAAAGTGTCCTTTCATACTGCATCACGGTGTGGTACGCTGGTTTGACATCAACTGATAGGAAGTGCCTACAGAGGGTGGTGAATACAGCACAAGATATTATGGGCTGTCCCGTGAATCCGCTGGATGAAATAGCGGAAGAATGTTGCCTGAGGAGAGTGAGGGAAATTCTCAGGGATGATTCACATGCTGGCCGGCACTTTCTTGATCTCCTGCCCTCAGGCAGAAGATATAGAAGCATGACTAGTCGCACCAACAGGGTAAAGAACAGCTTCTATCCGTGGGCTGTTAGGCTGCTGAATGAAAAGATAACAACAGGGCAACTGACTTTTGGGTTTGGTGGGTATGCCTCAGTAAACGAGGGGAATTAAGACTAAGAGAGCTGAGTGGGGGGGGGGTGCTCGTGTAATCTCACTGTATACAAGTTGTACAAGTGACATTAAAGTATTTCCTTTCATTTCATTTCATTCATCTTTTAAAAGTATATCCCACTCTTCCTCCCGAGTGTCCAGTGCAGCAAATGAGATGGCTCCTGTCTAATTTTTCAAGGGCAGGGAATTCCAAAGACCAGGTGCTACTATACTAAAGGCTTGGTTCCTACATTAAGCAAAATGGACCTCCAGATAAAAATGGCGTCTGCAGGAGGCCCTCACGATATATATGGGGTGAGATTATCTATTTGGGTATCCTGGTCCCAAATTGTACAGGGCATCATACACCAAAATCAACACAAAATCAACTTAGCATGGTAGCTAATTGATAGCCAGTTCAATTATTTTGACTGTGGGGTAATGTGTTGGCAATATCCTGCCCCAGTGAGCATTCACACCACTGCATTTCGCACCAGCTACAGCTTTCAGACCCTCCACAAGGGCAGCCCCATATAGAGTACATTGCAGTAATCCAGACTGTAGGCTTCCAGTGACTGGACAACAGTGGTAAGGCTACCCTGGTCCAGAACTGCTGCAGTCATCTTACTAGCTGAAATGGATAGGAGATATTCCTGGCCACTGAGGTCACCTGGGCCTTCAGGAGCATCCTCAGATTATGAACCTGCTCTTTCTGGAGCAGTACAACCCCATGCAAATAAGTAATTGGCTCAATAACCAACCAACCACAGTGCTTCTGTCTTGCCGGGATACTGGTCCTCATCCAGTTCTCTGTTGAGTCCAAGCACTGGCTCAGGCTTTGCATAGCCTCACCTGATTCAAATGTTACAGAGAAGTAGAGCTGGGGATCATCAGCATGCTGGTGACACCTTGCTTGACATCTCTCCCCATGACCACTCCCAATGGCTTCATATAGATGTTAAATAGCACTGTAGACAAAACTACCCTACAGCACAACTACCAGGAGGCCGAAAGACCACCACCCAATGCTATTCTCTGAAGCTGATCCTGGATATAGCATGAGAACCACTATAGAGCAGTGTGTCCAATACCCATCCCACTACGTTGGCTCAGAAGGATGGTATCAAAAGCCACTGAGAGATCAAGTAAGGATAACACACAAAGCTGCACTTATCTGGAGAAGAACACTACTAAACCAAGCTGCCAACACTCCTTTTCTACAGATATATATTAGATGTACAGATGTTCTGCTTGACCCTGTTCATCTTGGTTTCTGAAGGCTCACCAAGGCAATCAGTCCAATTCTAACTTGACTTTCATTAATGCCTTGCACCAGGAAGACCAGCTGTTCTTCAAGGAGGAGTCATAATCCCATTAAAGAAGGCATTCTCACATCCCCATGGTATTAGGGAATTATAGGCCAGCTTTTAAGTAATCATTCCCGGCCAAGTTGCTGAAGCCTGATGTGGCAAATCAGCTCCAAGTGCTTTCAGCTGAAAGTGATTGTCTAGATTCATTTCCGTCTGGCTTCCGGCCAGGATTCACAACTGAATCCGCCTTGATCAATCTGGTAGAGTAACTGTAATGGCAGGGATGGTGTGACTGGGTTGAGTCTCCTGGATCTCTATCTAGGTGGCTTTCAGTACTGGGTCAGCATACTGATGACACACAGTTATATTTCTTCTTTCTCTTTGTGTCAGGTAAGGCAGCGTCACTCCGAATGACTGCTTGAGGTCACCAACAGACTGCATAAATTTAAGCTTGGTCCAGGAAAATGGAGACACTAATAGTGGCTGAGTTGTACACAGCTCTGGCTAGAAAGCACATGACTTTTCTTAATGGGGTCAAACTCCACACCAAGACACTGGCTCCGTGCCAACTAATGAGTGCTCTAGAATCTGACTGCTTTCAGCAATCCAGTTGATGGCTATGATCAAGAGTATTTGTTTTTCAGTATCTGCTGTTCTACTGATAGCTTATTACTGAAGAACACTTAAGAACAGAACATATAACAAAGTAATTGCATTAAAACTGGGCAGTAAGTGCAATAAAACAGCATCCCAATGCCCAAATATGACCAAACTCCGGTAAATAAAGCAGAAAGCCATATATTATCCTGGAACTTACCATTCCAGGACATTTAAAATGTGCTTGAAGGGTGCTTGTTGATGCATCCCTCAGAGGTTTATATTAATGAAGTTCTTTTCAACATGAGGCAAGCAAAAAAAAAACTGTGCAGAAATTTAATTCATGAAATCTATGAAAAATTCTAAAATTTTGACTTTAGAAAAATCATAGCCATGGGTTGCCCAATCCTACAGTTCAGTAATGCTGGCTCGAGTGCTTTAGGATTTGATGTAGGTACTCTTACTAGAAATACTTACTACAGTGCAAAGCTATCCCAGATTATTCCCATTTCCAGTCCACACCGTGATCAACTCCTGCCCGGGAACCAATATCCCCACTGTGGAAGGATGTGTGGGTCCAGAATTGGCCTCCATAGTCACTTACGGACTCATTGTTAAAACCTTGTTTATGGAAGACAATCTTACTCGGCTACAAGTGATCGCCAAAGAAGAAGAAGAAGCTACCGAAGAGCCATGCTGGATGTCTTACAGGGGAGGAGCAAGCTTATGCTAAATTCCAAACTCCCTCAGATCTTGCTCTTGACACCATGTCAGTGTAATGTTCACCAATAAAAGGGCTGAATATGGGAAAATGGAAAATGATCCCACTGAATTCGACAGCAAGCTAAAAACAACAAGGTAAAAGCTAAAGGACCCATGGGCGGTTAAGTCCAGTCAAAGGCAACTATGGGGTTGCGGCGCTCATCTCGCCTTCAGGCCAAGGGAGCCGGCGTTTGTCCGCAGACAGCTTTCCAGGTCATGTGGCCAGCATGACTAAACTGCTTCTGGCGCAACGGAACACCATGACAGAAACCAGAGCGCACGGAAACACCGTTTACCTTCCTGCCACAGCAGTACCTATTTATCTACTTGCACTAGTGTACTTTCAAACTGCTAGTTTGGCAGGAGCTGGGACAGAGCAACAGGAGCTCACTCTGTTGTGGGGATTTGAACTACCGACCTTCCGATCAGCAAGCCCAAGAGGCTCAGTGGTTTAGACCACAGCGCTGAATTCAACAGCAAGCTAAAAACAACAACACCCACTGCTCTGCCCCCTCATGCCATCATGATGGAACACAGGATTCAGACTAACTCTGCAGCCAATCACAACACAGCTATAGCATGGTGAAAACTCTTTCCAGGGAGCCCATCACGCAGATGACAGGACGGAGAGTGTGGGGCTATTTCTCTGTGGCCTCATAGTGCGCACACAAGGGGGGATTTTTATAATAGGAACCAGGAAGAAAAAGGAATTTTGCACAAATAACCCGTCCAAACACATATGTATAATGAAAGCAGGTTGCTAATACGTGGAATTCGCCCTAAGCATTGTGGAGCAAGATGGAAATCACAGTACAGACTTTACCAGAAGCAGTCACTCACTTAAAGTGCTCCGAGAGCCTTGTTTAGATGTTACAGCAAGTACAATGAATGTGCACTGCGGGTGGGAAGAAGGTAGAAAGGGGTGGAAGCGAAGCACTCTGTCAGCTGCTGCCGCCATCACTCCGCAGCTACAGAATAGGTAAAACCCACAGTCCCCGGCAGGACAGAGCCAGTAGGAAGAGTGGAAACATAGGACTTGCATTTCCAGGTCCTCCTTTCCTTAAAGAGCAGTCAGAAACTGATTATTATTATTATTTATTGAATTTATACACCATCCTATTACCGGAGGTCTCAAGAACAAAATCAAAATATAAAACCACAAAATATATAATCAAAATAAAAACAACAAACCAATAACCGCTCCCCCATAAAAAAAACCACATTTTAAAAGGGCATAGGATGTCAATCAGATCAGTCAAAGACCTAGTTAAAAAAAGAATGTTTTTGCCTGGTGCCTCAAGGTGCATAATGAAGGCGTCAGGCAAATTTCCCTGGGGAGAACATTCCTCAGATGGGGAACCACTGCAGAGAAGGCCCTGTTCTCGTGTTGCCACCCTCCGGATCTCTCAAGAAGGCAAATGTAGAAGGGCCTCAGAGGATGATCTCAGGGTCCAGGAAGGTTCATATGACAAGAGGCGGTCCTTGAGGTATTGCGGTCCTGTGCTGTTAAGGCTTTATAGGTCACAACCAGCACTTTGAATTGGACCCGGAAACTAATCGGTAGCCAGTACAGTCGGTCCAGGATCAGTGTAATATACTCAAACCGTCTTGTTCCACTGAGCAACCTGGCCACTGAATTCTGCATTAGCTGAAGTTTCCAAACCGTCTTCAGAGGCAGCCCTACACATAACACATCTATCCTTGGGGTTACCATGTTCCCACAATTGG